GAGTCGGCCTGGTCCCCTGTCAGCAGGGTCACAAAGGCTGGGAACAGGGGAAACAGGGAAAAACAGGGAAAAGGGATGGCTGAGTCAGCCTGGTCCCCTGTCAGCAGGGTCACAAAGGCTGGGAACAGGGAAAAGGGGATGAGGAGGGGAAGGAACAGGAAAAAGGAGATGAGGAGGGAAAGGGGGTTTTGGGAAGGGAAGGGATCCCTGGGAAAAAGAGGGGCTTGGAAAAGCATCCCAGGTTGTTCCCTTTCCCAAGGGACCCCCTGTCAGCTGGGGGCTGATTCCAGGGGCTGATTCCAGGGGCTGATCCCGGAGTTCCAGGGGTGATGCTGGGGCTGATCCCGGAGTTCCAGGGGCTGTTCCTCACCCGTTCCTTTGTACTTGTCCACGAAGCAGTACTTGAGCTCGTAGTCACTCAGCAGGTCGTGGACTTCCTGCAAAAACAGGAAAAATTTCCAAGGATTTTGGGGGGGGGAAAAGGGAATTGGGGTCGCAGGGAAAAGCTCCAGCCCCGATCCCAGTCCCGATCTCCTCCTGTCCCCGTTCCCGCTCACCTGGTTGGTCACGTCGGGCGGTAACCCCCTGATCAGCACCTTCCGCCGGTTGCGGAACTGCCTCGCGCTGCGCTCCAGGCGGCTCCGCACCTCGGCGGGGGGGAGCGGCGGCAGCTCCTCCTCGGGGGCGCGCCCGAGCCCCGCCGGCGGTTCCTCGGGCCCCGCTCGGGGCTCCCGCCCGGGCCCCGCCGGCGGTTCCTCGGGCGCCGCTCGGGGCTCCCGCCCGGGCCCCGCTCCGGGCCCGCTCCCCGACACCGCCGCCGCCATCTTGGCCCCGCCGCCGCCACCACCCGCCGGGCAACCCCCCCAGCAACGCGCCTCCCCATTGGAGGAAGGCTTTGAGAGGGGGATGTGTCGGAGGGTGTGATTGGGTAAGTCTGAAGGGGGGGTTGTGTCCGAGCTGGTGATTGGGTCCGGCGGTGTGAGAGGGAAGGTTGAGGGGTGTGATTGGTTGGGTGGGTGGAGCGGGGAGGGGGGCGCGACCTTTGACCCCGCGAAGGGACCCGAAATAGCCCCAAAACCTCCCCGAACAGTCCCAAAACAGCCCCAAAACATCACCAAATAGCCCAAAGGGGCCCTAAAATACCCCAACATCCCCCCCGAGAACCCCCAAAATACCCCCAAAGACACTCAAAATATCCCTCAAAAAGAGACCCCAAAATAACCCCCAAACCCCCAAAGGGACCCAAAATACCCCAAAATGCCCCCCAAAGAGACCCCAAAATATCACACACTGGAAACACCTGGAGGGCTTTTCCATCCTTTATTTGGGAAAGGCCCTGAACCCCCAAATCCCAGACCCCAAATCCCAGGGGAGGATCCCCCCAAATCCCCAGAGGGTCCCCGGGACCCCCAAATTCCAGGAAGATCCCCTCAAATCCAGGAGGCCCCAAATCCAGGACCCCAAATTCCTTTCCCCCTGGAAATGGGATTTGGGGGGAGGTCCCCATTCCCTCCTTCCCCTTTTATTTTTTCCCCTTCCTGGCCCTTCCAGGACGTTGGAAAATCCCGGTTTTCCTCCTCCCCAGGAGCTGCCCCCGAACCTTCAGCTTGGGGTGGGATTTGTGGGGTCCTGGGTGGGATTTTGGGGTGTTTTTGTGGGACTTGGGGGTTTTTGGGTGGGATTTGGGGTGCCCTGGGTGGGATTTATGGGCGTTTTTGTGGGATTTGGGATTTTTTGGGTGGGATTTTGGGGTCCCTGGGTGGGATTTGGGGGGTCCTGGGTGGGATTTGGGGGTTCCCAGGTGGGATTTAGGGGTGTTTTTGTGGGATTTTTGGGTTCCCAGGTGGGATTTGGGATTGTTTCTGTGGGATTTGGCGGTGTTTGTGTAGGATTTGGGGTTGTTTCTGTGGGATTTGGGGGTGTTTCTGTGGGATTTGGGGGTGTTTCTGTGGGATTTGGGGGTGTCTGGGTGGGATTTTGGGGTCTCCCGGCTCTGCCTCCGCCGTTTCTGGGGTCGGGAAGTGCCTGAGGGGCTTCGTTTCCTCTTGGTGGGGAACAAATCTGGGGAGAAAAGGGCGAAAAAAGGTGAAAAGGGACAAGTTTTGGGGTGAAAGAGGACAATTTTGGGGTGAAAAGGGGTAGCTTTGAGGTGAAAGAGGACAATTCTAGGGTGAAAAGTGGCAGTTTTAGGGTGAAAAGGGACAATTTTGGGGCTGTTCCGGAGGTGTCAGAGCGTTTACTTTGAACCAAACTCATGGAAATTCAGGAACTTTTTGGTGTCATCAACCACCTCCAGAGGGAAAAGGGGGGGGTCAGTCCCACCCCAAACTCACCTATAACTCCCCAAACTCACCTGTAACCCCCCCCAACCCCCCCCAAACCCCCCTGTAACCTCCCAAACTCCCCCCAAACTCACCTGTCCCCCCCACACTCACCTGTGTCAGGCTCCTCCCCCACCTCCTGTCTGTAGTACTCGGCGTCGTCCTCGTCCTCCGAGGGTGTGGCCACACCTGGCTCAGGTGCACCGGGGTCCTCGACGTCGCTGTCACCCTCCTTGTCACCTGTCCTGGAACTGTCACCTGTCCTGGAACTGTCACCTGTCCCGGCCTGGCCCTGCTGGCGTCGCATCCCGGCCAGGCTGCGCTCCCTGGGGGGACGGGGACAGGTGAGGGACAGGTGAGAGGGGACAGGTGAGATTTGATCTCAGCGCTGCCCTCACCTGGGAGTGTCACCTGTGATACCTGGAACTGTCACCTGTGACACCTGGGAGTGTCACCTTGTCCTGCCCTCACCTGGGAGTGTCACCTGTGTCCCCCTCACCTGTTCAGGTGCCTCAGGTGCCGTTTCCTCTCCAGGTCCTGCTCCTGTTTCTGCCTCCGCTGGGCCTTGAGCTGCAGCTTCTGCTCCCGGCGCTGCTGCAGCTGCTGCAGCTCCTCCTCCGACCTGTGCACTGGGACAGGTGGGACAGGTGAGACCCCCCCAGGTGTGTCACTCACCCAGCCCAGCCCAGGGGTGTCTCCATGCCCAGGTGTCCCCAGGTGTCCCCAGGTGTGTCACTCACCCAGCCCGTGGTACAGGACGCTGCCCTGGCCCAGCCCCTCCTCCACCTTCACCAACTGCAGGGTCAGGCGGGGCCCGATCTGGGGACGGGGGGGACACAGAGGGGACAGGGGGGACGTCAGGGAGCCCTGGGGGCACCTGGTACCTGGCCCTCGTGTCCTTAATGTCCCCTCGATGTCCCCAATGTCACCTCAGTGTCCCCAATGTCACCTCAGTGTCCCCATTGTCACCTCAGTGTCACCTCAGTCAGCCTCACAGCACTCTGCTGTCCCCCCTGGTGTCCCCAATGTCCCCAGGATGTCCCCAGGATGTCCCCACTGTCACCTCAGTCAGCCTCACAGCATTCTGCTGTCCCCCCTGGTGTCCCCAATGTCCCCAGGATGTCCCCACTGTCACCTCAGTCAGCCTCACAGCACTCTACTGTCCCCCCTGGTTCCCTGATGTCCCCAATGTCCCCTCAGTGTCCCCAATGTCCCCAATGTCCCCACTGTCACCTCAGTCAGCCTCACAGCACTCTGCTGTCCCCCCTGGTTGCCCCTCCCGGCGCAGTCCTGGGGCAGCTCCAGCACGTTGTGGGTCCCGTCCTGCTCGGCCTCGCTCTCCGACAGGGCCACCTCCCTGGGGACAGTGGGGTCACCGGGGTCACACAGGGTCACTGGGGTCACCAATGTCACCACAGTGTCCCCAGGGTCACCACAGTGTCCCCGTGTCACCCCCATTCCCAAATGTCCCCCCTTCACGCGTCCCGTTTCTCCCTGTCCCGTGTTCCCCTTCCCATCCAGTGTCCCC